AAATTTTACTGTATTAAATATTAAGCAACTACACAGATAGTTAAAAATCCAACAGAGATCACAGAGGAACTGAACAAACATTTAAAGTCTCTCAGGCATTCAGGAACCATCAAGTGGACATTCAATTTCTGTGACACCCTTGAATTCCTTTTTAGGTATATTTGAGTATTTGTAAGTACACTGAAATTCAGTGATCTCAGATTTATATGGTTGTAAAATATTGCTAGTTTATTCTTTAGAGTTACTGGTAGATTTGGAAGAAAATTATCCAGGAGCTGAAAATAGCAGGGAGGCAAATCAGCCAACCCACTGATCAAATCTGTAGATATAGCAAAGTATCCCTTATTTTTGATGAATTTCCTAAGGAAATTTATGAGCAGTGTTAAAGCATGTGGTAGAACATGTGGCCATCAGGCCCCACCATATGGCTGAGCCATGATTTGCCCTGCTAGCCATCTATGCAGAGGCTACCTCAGGGCTGGAGAAGCTCGCCCTATTCTATGCTGGGGGTTGGAAACCCAGAGCAGAACTCTGCTCAAGTTCCTGTCCTGCCCCAGATGTGCTGCAATTATCAGCTGTTCCAGGAGGGAGCAGTGCTGGTTAGGGCAGAAGCAGAACTCTGTCTATCCTCATGTGTAGAGATTGCCAGGAAACAGAATTTCTTCTGAAATTTCTGAAAGAAACATAGTTTTGGTTTCTAGAGATTACTTAGGGAAGATATTTGAACTTTTCTAGAAGGAAGAAATGCAAATGAGAGGGTTGAATCAGCTCAGGTTTAAAAAAAATTGAAACTCATGAACACATAAACAAAAGTAATGGTTTTGGTTGATTTGCACAACTGTTCTTGCAACAGTTAAATGTGCACAGACTTCTCCCCAAAAACAAATAGGCTGGAGCTGAGACATTTATCTTCTACCCAGCTGATTTATCTCATCTATGCGTAAATGAGAAATAGTTGTTGGGGCATCTTTAAAAAGCAGTATTCGCTTATCTCAAACTCATCAGGTGGGTCCTAGACATTGAAGGCATTTGCAAGGGAGAGTAATTGCTCACAGCTGAGGAATATAGACTTTTTTCTGCAGTCATAATATTCCACAATATGTGTGCTCAGGGTACTGATTTGTCCTGGTTAAAGCAGAAAATGAACCTGTTCAAATATTACTACTACTGTAATAAGAAACAGAACAGCCACCATTACTATCCCAAGTGTTAAATCCTCATTCCATATTTCCTAAAAACCTTTTTTGTTCAAATACAGAGAGAAACAGGATAGAAAATTAAGAGGAAACTTTTTTTTTTTGTGAATATATAACAAAAACTTAAAAAGGAAGTATAAGGAAAGCAAAAGAAAAGAAAGCATTCCTTGAGTTCAGGCTGTCAAACACCTTTTATTGGCTTGTAAATGAAAGCTTGTTCAGCTATTTTTTCTCCAATTAAATATTTGAGGTCTCCATAGCAACTGCCATTTTGCAAGATGCGAATACTTCATTATCTGGATATTGAGCAGCTGAGTAAAGTGGAACAGGAAATGCTAGAACCATAACCCTCTTTAGAGTACTTTCTAGGGAAAGAAGCATTACCTACTGCCACAGAGGAACAGTTTTCTTGACAGAACTGCTAATTTTAAAAGTTTGGATTTTTTTCTAAAGAAATTATGCATTTCCTTTTCTGTTCTGTTCTTGTTGTCTTGTATCTTGCGACATGTAAATTTTAAAAAATAGTCTTACATAAAAATTAAAATAAAACAATTTTAGATTTGAAATCGTAATGTTACAAATCTAGTTTTTCAGCAGGTCAAAGTACTTTACAAATCACTGAGGTCACTGCAGAGATACTAGGTTATAGGGGCTGAGGGTCTGCAGTCAATCTGTTAGACACGTTGGTAAAAGAAATTCAAAAGTATTGTTTCTCTAGCAAGGCTATTGGTCACAGCTCAGTAGGTGCCATGCAGTGGTGCTGTTACCAGCCTGTTTCTCTGTGGGTGAAATTGCCTTACAAGTGAATAGCCTCAATGTGCACACCCTTGGGATAAGGAGCAGTGCTCAGACACTGTTGGATGTGATCCCTAATGGCTCTGCAAACAAGAACTTTACTCTGAGCTGAATTCTTCCTCCTCTTTTTCATTCTTACATAATCAACCATGAGGTCCTCCATACTCTTTCCCCCCTTTACTATTAAATTTTCTCAGAGGTGTCTCAGGTGGCAGCATTGAATGCTCAGTTGGAATAGCTGATAGCTCAGCATATTTGTGAGCTATATGGCACATATTTGTACCATATCTGTGGTACATTGTGTTCTCCATAACAGCATTACCTCCTTTTCCTTCTCCTGTATGAACAACTGGTCATCTTCTGTCCTATTTTGACTACAATGTCAACAACAAACTGGAGCCAGAGGCAGAGCTGTTAAGCCCTGATAAAATAACTGAAGCATGACTTTCTTAGATATGAAGCAAATGTTTCTACCCTAGAGGAGATCTGTTATTTTATTTTTCCTTAAGCTAACTGGAGGTTTGTTTTGCATTGTCTCAGCATGGCAGTTTAGGCACTAATCCTGACACACAGGTCCCATAGACTTTAACAAGAGCATACCACACCTGAAAATTCTCGGTTCTGGGAGTGGTGTTTCTGTTGGAATTCATGCTCACCACAGTTAAATACAGGGGATTCTAATTCTAACTAGTTAAATACAGGAGATTCTAGGAGAGGATTAAAATGTCCTGTCTGGCAGGAATTGCTGCAGGCACTTGTATTAACTGGAGTATCAATCTCCATAAAGTTTTTAATACCTAAATAGTTTTTTCTATATTTTCAGAGAGAGTATTTTCAAAGATGTCTGATTTTCCAAAGGGAACAAAAAATGTCACTGAAGCATTTCCATTAGGGATAAGATAGGATCCCCAGAGTGTTAATCCAGCTCTTTGAGAGGCTGAAAATTTCAGGAAGCAAGCAGAGCACAAGCCATTGTCCAAGTTCTGGCAATTTATTTTCTTTACTGTCCCTCACTGCATTTTACTAACTTGGCTATTGATGGTATATTTGTTATTTTAATGTTCATGTCCAACACAACAAAACAGCCATTAACTATATTGGAGTTAGTATTTCCTATGTATGAGTAAGTTCTACAAGTCTTACCTTTAAAAAATATAAGATCTTTGGGATACCCTTAAACACTGGACAGCTATATCTGTTTCTGTAATATAAAAAAGAGTGGCACCAGCTGATGAATTGACATCTAGACAAGAACAGCTTTTTAAGAGTTGCTACTATGTTCATCATCATGAAGGACCCTTCAGTGCAGAGCTGTTTGACCTACCTCTGCAGTGCTTCCTCAGCCAGATTTACTTATGGAATATGTTTACTCACTGATCATAAAGATTTGGCTGAATAAGGATTGTATAACCTGTATATTTAACCATGGAAAATGCCTTATTTATAATATTGTTGCTTATCCAGATTGTCAGAAGTGTTGGTAACATGACAAATATTCCCACTCTGTAACTATTAACACTTGGGTTAAAGAAAGCATCTTGCAAAAACACCTGTACAGGAGCTGTTGAGATAAATTGAAGCCTAGATCAGCAGGATGTTGCTACAGGTAATGTCAACTTTAATGTGAATGTGATTTGGAGAGATTTGCACAGTGTGGCCAGCATTTGACAGAATTTCCAGTTGCCCAGCAGCATCTACCTGACAATCTCAGTGCCTTACAGCACACAGGCAGTTTTCTGCTCCTGGAGGTCACAACAGTAGAGTGACTTGTGTGGGAGATCAGGGCTCCCCAAGTCAGGACAGCAGAACCTCCTTTTATAAATGGAAGGCAATACGTTTTCATTGATTTGACTTTATCAGCAATTATTTTGGAGCAAGTACATGATTCTCTATCCCAGTGCTTTAGTTCTGCTCAGACACTATGAAAAAGAACAAGGGAACATTATGAAGCTGATACTTTAAGGAGAAAGCAAACAATGGCAGTGACAAGCAAAGAAAAGTGCAACAATGGAGTTGCAGCTTCACTTCCAAGGGCATGGCAAGCAAGGTAACTGAGAGCATGAATGCACACAGAACAGCTTAGCTGAATTACATTAGAGCGAAACCTATCAATAAACAAGATCTTAAGGCAGGAAAATGAGAATTAACAAAAGAAAACAAAATATTCTTTTAAAAACCAAGAATGTATGATATTGTGAGCAAAATGAAACAATAACCAAGTCGATGCTTTTAGAAGAAGTTCTGGTGCTTTTTGGCTATGCAGCACAGATCCCATATGGGAGCAGTACCTCTGGACCTACAATCTCTGCTATAATTTCTCATTAGTATAATCTTAGATTCTTTATTTCACCACTAATATTATTAGAAATAACCATAAAAGCAATAACATGTATGCTTAAGGTTGGTACAGGCTTCAGGCATTCAACAATATACTTTTTTGGAGCATTTTTAATTCCTATCCTAGTATTCACAATCCTTTTAGGTAATCAAAGCTATGAGAATATTGCTTTTTCTTTTCTAGCTAAGGTTTGGTCATCTCCTGACAGATCCAGTGTCTAGTAGACAATGTAAAGGAGTTTTGATCACTCCATCTCCTGCTCCATCATTCCCCTCTCTGGGCTAAAACTCCAAGCATTGCATGCCTTATAAAAGAGATGACTCTGACTATATGTTACCTCCCTGCTGCTTTTCTTTGTTCATAACTTGCCAGATTCCAAGTTATCTGTTACAACTCCAATTTGTCAATGCAAATGCACTCAGGAAGCTGCATCGTTGTGAAGCCAGCTAGATACCATAATTAAGGATATATCTAGGCAAATCCTACAGCAATATTTTAATGCAGCACATTGGGAGTATGAACCTCCAGGACTCTGACTTAATTAAGGAAAGGAAAATAAAAGGTTATCTATTGTTTTGCTATCTTGAATCTATGCAGGACAGACCTCCCACAGAGCTGCTGGTGACTGGCTCTCTGTCAGCTCTTAGCTCCACTCAAGGAATGTCCCAGAGATCAGCATAGCCAGGACCATCAGAGCCAGGAAACCAGAAGGAAACAGTTGAGACTACTGTGTTTGTCCTCAACATTTTGTGACTGCACTCTCATGTTTTGTCACTAAATTTTATTTTTGCATAAACCTTCCCTTTGGGGCACCTGGACTTCACAGCAATGGGATCTTTTCAAGTCCATCATCCAAAGATGTCATGCTTGCTTCAAACTGCTTGTAGATGAAACAACAGCTGGATGAAAAGTACAATGAAAAGGTAAACAGAATAATGAGTAGATTGTCTTTCATGCAGTAAACAGCAGCCACAGTAAAACAAGTGCTTTGTTAAAGGAAGGGTAGCAGTACTTTACAATAAATTGTTCTTTATTTTACAAACTCCAGCCACTCCTCTGTGTCAACAAATCCTATTTGCCCTTCTCAAGGTGCCTGGGGGCAGAACATGAATGACATGTGGGCTAGAAGATAAATGGGATAAGCCATGGTTCTCTCTTTTATTTTGCTCTGACTTTGATTTTAAGCAATATTTTTGCCTGGGTCAGTGTATATAGTCTCTAATATATTGTTGAACCTCAATGCTTTCTCTTCTGCAGTAAGGTGCAGTTTGACCTGTTAGCTACTCCTTTTAATAGATGTTTATGTGAAAACCTCAAAACATCAGCTGCACAGCACTCCAAGATAAAATATCCCTTGATGAGAGAGACATGTAGCAATTATGCCTAGTAAAGTATATGTTTCAAACCCTGAAACATCAGCATGGGTATACATTCTACTCTCTGTGAGGCCATCTCCTCATCTAGGTTTTGCTATCTGCTTGCAGACTGATCTCATTTTGGTTTTGAAGTGTAAAGAACGAAAAGGGAGTCAAGTACTTATGACAGTGATAATTTGCAACCCATGCAGGATAAGCCAGTCCTTTGCTGCTTTTGTGGTAGATGAGGAGGAAGGTTGTAGGTGATGAAGCAGGGTTTCTGCTCCTGTAGGTTTTTGTTCATTTGGTGCCAGTTTAATGTTGGTCCCTTCATGCCATCAGTCTCTCTACAGCCTCTCTGCTTCAGTGGGGAACAATGACAGTGCAAAAATCTGAGTTTATATATCTCTATTTTGCAATTCATTAAAGGTGAGAAATGAGGCTTCTGTGAATTGAATTACTCTGATGCAGAATGCTTTCCAGCAGTTTATAAACCTGTACCCTAGAGTTTCAGTGTTAGCCAAAAGAGGACATGCAGTTTTTTTATCTAGGTTTTCTAGATTCCCAGAAAATAAAAACAACAAATGTATTCTTTATTTCTGCATCATGGCATTTCAACAAAATATTCATGTCATTTGCATCAACGTATAGAAAGTTATCTGCTTGCCTGTTGAGGTGGGATGATATTTAGTAATAGTCCTTGTCTCCATGCTGCTGAGTAATTTAAATCATCTTTCTTTATTGATAGATCATGTGAAGGCCTAAGAAAAATATCACTTTGCTGCACCTGAATTTTTTATAAACAAATAACAGCAATTGGGCTAATGATATTGTTTCTTACAGTAATTGCATCAATTAAAATAATGAAACACTGTGGGAGCTTTATTTCTGAAGTTCTTATTTAAAACCTAAAGAAATTCACTGTGGGCCTAGGGCTCTCTCCCATGTGGTATACATAAATTTGGAACATGGGAGGGTTTCAAAGCACTTATGCAACAGCAATTAGGTATTTAATTGCTCCCTTCTATTAGATCCTGTTGTTAAACCCAGTTCATAATGCATGAACATTCAGGGCTGTCAAGGCAGGAGCTTCAAACCGTGCCAGACCAAACAACTTGCTGAGGCAGAGGTCATCACCTGTAGTAGTAACCCTTGTGGCATTTCCTTATATGTAATAGATAAACTCCAGTAATGGTGTGCTGAGGGCAGATGGGGTGTTGGTGGCTCTGCAGTGCTAAGAGCAATTCCAGCCCCACCAGGCACTGCAGCTGATTTTAGTGCACTGAGATTTGAGTCCATGACAGTCAGGACTGTCCCAGGCTCACAGAAAGGGCTGCATAAATGGACTGTGCAACCTCTCATAAAAAAACCTCTGGCTTTGCAGAGTCTACCCCAAACACATCACCTTTCCTTCTGTGAGATAAAATACTCATCTTTAGCAAGTTCTAGCATAGTTTTCATCCTGAGGCCACTAACAACATAGGGCTCAGAAGCTAATATACTGACCAGTACCACAAACTAAATTTTTAACTGAGCATTAACTGGAACATGGTAAGCTCTATTCAGTAAATTAGGTTTGTATTGAAGAAAATGGCTGACAGGGAAGTAGCATGAATTTCTTAGTGAGTTTGCTTTAAATGTTTTTTATGAGCTCAGTAACATAAATCATAGGACTTCCATTATTTAATTTTTAATCTCAGCTTTTAATAGCTTCATAATTCACTGTTGTTTTTAATTACCATTCATAACTTCAACAACAACAAAAAAATGGGCTCAAAGAAAAAGAAATCTAGCATCAGAACATGGTTTTCATTTAGAAACATTCACAGTATTAAAATAGAATTGTTGCTCCTAGCTAAACTGTTTGAATTATACATTAATTCATTTCCTCTGGTTTCTCTGGTACTATTTTGGAATATTTTTTCAACCACTGATTTACATTTTATGTTAAAGCTAAAATTTCACATTTATATTCAAAGATATTAGGTCAGCTATATAATTTATTAATTCATCAAAGTAAATACCATATTCTACCACAAGTGTCTGATGTTGGCTGCTCACCAACCAGCAAGTGCCACAGGGACAGTGAATCAGAACATTTCTGGGGCATCTGCAGAAATCTAAGATTCAGGAAAGCAAATGTAAACCCCAGTGTGCTGTGGGTGAGAGCCAGCCAGGAGGCATGTCAAATTCCAAATGGCATCCTGAGGCACATATGCATGCTGCTAACTGTGCCACTTTGGTTTATGGGAAGAAGTAAGCTCATGACAACAATGCTTTGTCAGTCATTCATTTTTCCAAATCTAAACTGCAGCTGATGTACCTTACAGTGCTATGGAAGCTAAAATGCAGTGGAAAAATTCCTGATCAGCTTCAGTGAGAGTGCAGCCAAGACAAACTGTACACTGCAAAGGAATAACTTGATTTAAATTTTGCATTACCTTGAGTCCAGTAGTGCTACACCTGCTTTCAGCTCACACTTTTATATTTTACAAGTAGCAATATGCAAAGAGAAGCCTCCTTTTAATTTTTTTGTCCCAGCCAGATTTCCCTTTAGCCTATCTCCCTGCTTTCCTGCTATGGAGCTGGGCAGCAAGCAGCATAGAGAAGGGTGAGGGCAGGTGCCAGCCTGCACATCCAGAGGAGTCTCCACTGCTAAAACACTGGGGCCACATCTCCACTGGAGTACCCAGTTGGGATCATTCTCCCTTGCAACACTGGCTGCAGCTGTCTTTGGATCAGACACTCAGCAGAGACTAAACACAACTGCTTCAATATCAGGTGTTAATCATGATGGATTAATTAATTAGAAATTAAACTGCTGTCATCCCTCTTTGTTCTTTCTCATGAGGACACCTTCCTCCTTCATCTGCAGCAGAGTTCAGCTGAGGCAGAGCAGAATGCAGACATGTAACTTGCACAGCCACAGTGGGAAGTAGATGTGGGTACATCTATGTATATACATAAAGACATATGTTTTAAATAGATGTGCATACATAGATATATATACACACACACTGAATGGTTGTCACTATAAATAAATAGTGTAAAGAAATGCAATATTTACAGATAAATTTAAATCATAAGCTCTCGCTGTCCAGAATCCAAGCAGCTTTTCTCTCAAATTCAGAGATTAAAAAAAAAAAAAAAAGGAAAATATGGTTGTATTGCCACCTGGAGGATCTGTGTGTCTTACCCGTGTGTCGTGACTGGCTCCCCAGGATGGGATGTGTGTGGTGTCTCTGATCACAAGGGTTTAACTGTAGAGGGAAGAAATTCCTGGCATTGAGGTTATCATTAGGGGTAATTTGAATCAGCTAATTGTGTAGTTACACCTTTTATCAGTCTTTGTACTAGAATAAATAGCTCCAAAGCCTGGACACTCAATTTAATTTTGTGCTCTTGAGATGACATGTCTGCGCTTTCAAAATAAACTCCTGGGTGTCTCCTCTTGCTTAAAGGAAGAGGCAGGAGGGATGATGTTGGCAATGGAAAGGGTCAGAATTCAATGCTTCCTTTCAGCTTTTTTTCCTTTGATTTTGTCTTGCAGTTTTAGGTCCCTTCTAAATTTTAGAGTTAGGAAATTGTAAAGAAAGCTCTCTTTAAAAACTCAAGATAAATTCTAAAGTTGAACCTGTTTCATTCATGCCCAGGAGATCTAAAAGCCTGAAATAAAATCCTGCCAAAGGCTTTAAGTATTCTTGTGCAGACTCTTCCCCCTTCTGCTGCTGCCTGGCACTGCCAAAGGGAAGAAATTGTTCCTTTAGTGAAAATGATCCAAGGATGAGGCATAAAATCCCTTGGAGCACAGAAAACATGATCATCCCAGCACCGGCTGCACAAAGTGGACTCATCCTTCATTTATATATTTACAGGGACCTGGCCAGTGCTGTCCTGAGTGCACTGAGAGTTCTGCAGCCACGGTATTGCTGCAGCCTCCAGGACGTCAGACAGGGACAGAGCCCTCATCACACTGTCCTCGTCACCCGACCGAAACAGCTTGGCCATTTCTCTGACACTCCATGAAGATCTGCCCCGAGGATGGTTTCAGTGTGTACCAAGAATGAGCAGTGGGGACCTGTGGATATCTTCTCCTTACCAGGTGTGGAATGTGTATTCTGACTCCGGGAGCCTGGCTAATGGAAGGAGGCTGTACCCACAGAGCTGGTAAATGGGGCACTGAGCCTTTCCCGGGCAGGGAGAGAAATGACTGCCATTTCCCAGGGCAGGCACGAGGCTTTGCAGGCCTGCCAGAGTGTCACAAAGTGCCACCAACGCAGCAGGGAACGCTTCAGCAGAAGCACCGAGCCACGGAACCCGGCCCTGCCCTGCCCGTGTGAGCGGCCCTGCCCTGCCCTGCCCTGCTCTGCCCGGCCGGGGCTCGGCAGCCGGGGCACTGTGCGCCACGAGCAGCGCAGCCTTCCCGCTGTGTGCAGAGGGACGGGAGCGGAGCGCTTTGCCCCGCTCTGCTGCTGCCCCTGTCCCAGCCGCTGTCCCTGCCCCTGTCGCTGTACCTGTCACTGTCCCTGCCCCTGTCTCGGTCCCTGCCCCTTTCGCTGCCCCGTTCCTGCCTCTGTCGCTGCCCCTGTCCTTCCCCCTGTCGCTGGCCCTGGCGGCGCGCCCCGGCTCCGTGGGACAGGGCCAGGCTCCGCGGCTGCCGTGCCACCAGCCCGGCCTCTCGGGCACCTGGCACTCACCTGCCAGCCCCGCACCTGAGCAGCTCCTGCTTCTCCCTCACCCCGTCCTGCAGATTCCTGGTCTCCTGTGCCGCTGCATGGCCGCACGCAGAAATGCAGCTCTGGGGAGGAATTTCTGAGCTCTTTCCCTGTGATAACAATGAGGAGAAAAAGAAATAAATTTATGGAGGCTGTAACAGTGACAGCAAAATGATGAGCAGGCACCACTTGGAATTACAAAAATTCTTGAAGCCACACATAGACAAATGTGCTCACGAGTTGGTTTTTCCATTATAATTTTTGCTGTATTTTATGTTCTTGCCTAGGGCAATTAGCCTTTTAACAACCTCTCTTTCAGAAGAAGTAACTTTAGTTCCTGATCATTACAGAAACACTTATTTTCTGTATTGTTTTGTCCGGACAGATGGCAGCCATTCCTAAATATGTCTTTATAGGACTAAAAATAATATTTTTTAAATAATGTTAGCTGAAGATAATGCTAAATAAAGCAATATCAGCTACTATTATATTCTAATTCCCCAGAAAAGAGATGCCAGCAGCTGCAGCACAGTAGCTGAAGCTTAACATTTCTCCTTGTGTTAACCTAGACAAGGGGGCAGCCAGCCACAAAAGATGCTTCCCTCCAATTATTGTACTTATCTAGGAAATAATCTGAAAAGGGCCATCTGACAGGCAGGATGCCATCTTTCTATTGCTAAGCAACCCCTGATATCTCTTTTCAGGAGGAGTGATCAGCTTCCTGAAGAGTACACAGCTGAATTTAAAGAAGCCTTTTTTCCTTCTATATTTCTTTTATTCTCTCTCTCATTTTTTCCCATTTTTTAAACTTTCTTCCATCAGTGCTGCTGATCGTTTAATGACAAAAAAAAAAAAAAAAAAAAAAAAGAAAAGGACTGGGAAGAGCTTACTAGGCAAAAGACAAGCAAAATCTGAGCTGCAGACTGCAGTTAATAAGACAAAGTTGATAATGATTGCACAAATAACCTTCCACCATAGCTGACAATGATGCTAAAGAAAATTAAGTACATCACTCTATGCAGAAAATTTGGCGTGGAGAGAAAAATTGAGAGAAAAGATGGAGGTAGACTACATCTTCTTTACATTATACTTTCCCATTCCTTTTCTTCCATTTGGTTCTACTTTCTTTTTTCCAGCTCTTATTTGGCAACAATTCAGAAGCCTATGTGTTGAGATGGAATATGTACTTTTACCCACTTCTGTTGCTTGCTAAGGCCCTTAGTGCTACCTTTTTGCTGGTTCCCTGTTTTCCTTTCTCCTTGTCTCTGGGGTCACAGGTTTCTGCCATTTACTGCTCTTCCAGCAGCTCTCACTTACTAAACAAGTATATTTCAAGTTGGCAGTGTATCTATAGTGGTGTCTCGAAGCCAGTTGTTTACACGGTGGTGCTTTTAGTGAGATAAACATACCCACAAGGGCTCTGTCTCATGCTGGCTGTTCTCTCATTGAACCTTTGTGTTACAGCATGCAGAAAATGTGCATGCAGGGTTTGTCTTATTCTTTTTTTTTTCTAACCAGAGAGAAATTATGAGTGCCCACACTGATCTTTTCAGTTGATGCAGATAGCAAAGGACTCAGTCAAATTTTCTCCAAACAGGTCCAGATCTTAGATCAAATTCTCCCACTAGTAAATAGAGGGCATAGCACAAGATCTTCCTTTTCCAGCTTGCCCTCTGCCTTCTCCATCTGCATGCTTTGAGGTCAATCCATGATCAAGAAGCTCAGTTTAACCTCCTAAACTCAATGGCCACTCAGCAGATATCATGCTATAAATAAGGATATTCTTTGCCAATCTCCCAACCTCAAGCATATACAGAAGATACAATCTAGCTTGAGCATACTAGTGCTCAATTAAATCCGTTATCTCACATTTATCAGTAGCAATACAGAAATTTTCAGATACCTATACAGATGTTGAGTAGAAAAAATTTCACTGAATAAGGTCAGAGCTGGAATGAAAAAATGCCCACACAGGATGTATTTGCAGTTATCTTTCCAGTTGCAATGAGTACCTGGAGTGACTGTGCCTCGAGTTTTACTGCTCTTCTCTTTTTGTGAATGATGGTAGCAAAAGCACCCATCAGTATAAGGGTGAATACCAGTATGGTGGCAAACCAACTCTGAAATTATGGTCAGTTTAAGGACAGTTTGAAAGTATATAACTAAGATAAATTCATCAGGTCAATTAGGCAAAGAAATAATTAACACATCAGAGAATGATTCAAGGGAAAATTCCTGGTGGGGAAGAATCTGTAAGGAACCAGAGAGTTTTGTGGTGCAGGGTTATCCCCTGTAGTGAATTGCCTTTATGGAACCACAATTTTCTCAACAAGGATCTCCCACAGGGGATAAAGAAATCTTCCTTTTGTAAAAGACCTCAAAATAATTCAAGCTGTCTGCCAGTAATTAAATCCATTACACTAGCAACAGGTGGTAGAGCTGTAATTTTTTCACATCTGTTATCATTTTCATGAGTCAGTATGTATTCATTGCAAGAGCTGGGTAAACCACAGAGCAGAGAGGGCTGGGTTGATGGCTGTCATCCAAGCAGCTGCTGTGCTCACTCCTGTAGTTATCTGAAGAGCAAAGCAGAGGGAATGTGAGAATATCTGGTAGGCAGGAAGGGGTTTTGGCAGGATTCCAAAGGATAGGAAGGCAGGGATTTAAAAGATAGTGAATATATTTCATAGGCTCTTTATAGAGAAGAGTAAAAAAGAAAAAGGGAATGTTGGTTGTGTTTAGAGCATTACCTGGATTTACCTTCCCTAACACAGATTTTCTGTGTGGCCTGGAGTATATTCCTTGGTTGGTCTAGCTTAGTAAATTTAAAAACTAAAATCCCTGGGAAATTTCATACTTGGTGAGGACAACAGGCATAGGACAGCTCCCAGGTATGTAAGTGAATTTACTTTAGTCTCCAAATCACAATGCATTTGTGCAAACTGGCTGCTGGGAATAGTGTGCTATGACAAAGAGGTCTGGGTATATTGCAAGAAGAATTCTATTGAAGAGCTTACGAAGACTGAAAATTGCATTTAATGCAAAGAACTCATGGAATGGCCACAGCTCTGGGTTGCTCTGTAATGCAGCAGGGTGTACATATCACTGCTATATAAGAGAAGGAGAGAATCCTGCTACTGGGATGTGCAGTGTTCTCACTTCTCTGGAGAGCAGCTGCGGCTTTTTGCTGTACTTTTGGATTCTTGATTTCCCAAGAACATTTTCCATGTTTGGTGGCCTTTTCCACCTTCCTCCAAACAACACTCCTTCTTTCACTCAGAGGGGAAAGGCTCTGTAATTTCAGCTGTTTTTCCTTTACTGAATACTGGCAATAATATCTCTCATCTCATGGAGAGATGAGAGAAGTTCACAATCAATTTACATCCAACAACAGTGACACAAAGTTTCAGGTTTTGTTTAGGACATGCTGCCTTCACACCTCTCCTCAAAGACTGGTTCCTTCTCCAGTAGTGCCTTGCATGGCAGTATTAAGTATACTTATTATTGCGTTGAGCTACAGTTTTGTAGTGAGTAAATAATTGTTCACTTAAAGAATCTTTTAAGAGCCAGTTTAGAACAAAAATATATGTAATTGAGTTATTGCTGTAGGAATTTCTTTAATTATATCTTGTTCCATGGCAATTAATAGATTACTGTAATTCTTTTTAAAGAATCATCATTTAACGCTACTGGAATTTGAAGAAATTTTGCAGGTTGTTTAATGTTAATAGTTATCCTTAAGCTGAGGCTTCTTGGCTGAGATCCATGGCAAGAGACAGGGTTTATCCAGTAGATATTTGCTTTTCTGGAAGCTCTCCCATGGGCAGAGCCACAGATCACTCAACTCCTAACCACATCCTCATGGAACTGTGTTACTGTGAACTCCCATGTGGCCAAAAGACCATCAGGGACCACATATTTTCTTAATTATTAAATTAGACACAGGAAATTAATAACACTTAAACTGTCTAAACCTCAAAATAAGTATTGCAGAGTTCTGGATAGAGATAGAAATAGGTGGAGACCAAGTCAGTCCAGGCATCCTTCCCACCCTCTTCTTCCTCCCTTTCATACCCTTGACTTTGGAACTGGGCCCTTGCTGTCAGTGCAGGCTGCCCCCCAGCTCAGTCATTCTTGCCCAAAGGCATCCCAGGAGTGTTCAAGGTCCACAGACACCAGAGCATCACCACAGATCCTGGTGTCAGTGCCCTTTCCAGCTGTGGGTGCCTGACACCTCTGCCAAGGCAGCAGCAGGGCCTCCAAGCAGCCTTGTCTCATTATTCCAAGGGGAAAATAAGCAGGAGAAAGGAGGGACTCCCTGATGTCCAGTTCCCCCATTCTCAAAAACTGGATAACTAACCCTTATTTTGTGGAAGAATATTTGCCC